GTTGAGAGGATCCCTTTTGAAAATGAACCCAGGTCCTACATAGTACAATTTAGTATCTACAAAGCAAACTAAAATATACTGAAAATCACTTGACATTGTTAAGCATCTTTTTACTGTATCTTTATTTCTATAAGGCCCTTGGTATCTGCAAGATCAGTAGTTACCATAGTTACCACAAAGAGCTCTTGGCCTCACAGAATCAGGTGGGCATACATATAGGAGAGACCAGGAACATAGTGTGTCCTGCATAGAGCAGGCTACCAGTTTTTCCCTTAGCCACCCCAGTTCCAGCACAATTATCAGGAGGCAGTGAGTGTAGCAGGCTAGACTCAGCAGCCAGAGAAGACACCCAGGGATTGAGCTATGGACTCCTAACCTAAGAGCCTTTGCCTCCTCCCATGTACTCCAGCCCTACCCAAAGGGCCCAGCTCTTTCCTCTGATGTGGCCTCCCATTGCCTGAGTCCAGTTTGATCCCTGTGGTGCCTGCCTGCCCACTCCTAGTTTCTCTGGTTGAGTAGTGCCAAGAGGCTGGAGCCAGGCCCAAGCCAACTATAGCAGCCAGGCTTAGCTGGGTCTCAGTGTTTTGACTTCCCCATCCATTGTAACAGCTGGAGACTTAAAGCTTCATCTGCCAGATGTTTAGGTGGGCGCCACCCACTTCCTGGATGTTGCACACTGAAGTCTAGCTTGTCCCAGATACCAATAACTGTGGGAACTATGCCTTTGATGCCAAATCACCTCTGTCACTGGGGAATTGTCTGGAGCTCTGGGGGACATCCACCCACTCAGGGGCCACTGTCATCTGGATCCAAGGCAAAGGGTACCTCCCCTGACAGCTGAGTATGACAAAGCTCATATGCTGCCCTCCCTGGAGGCCCAGAACTGTATGGAACGTGAGAGGACAGTCACACTGACTGAGACAAGCCTGTCCCATCCCTGTTCTGGGCTTTGCACTCAAAAGCTGAAGCTGAGGGTGAGCAAGGTGCAGTTCAGACACTGTCTGAAAGCCCGTCTCCTCTCAGCTCTGAGCAGTTTGCTGGACAGCTATAGGGGTATGCTGAAGAGAGCAAGCTGAGGCCTGTGGTCTGGAGACCTGGCTATCAGCCTGCTTATTCAGCACCATTGCTGGCTGCCTGGTGAGGGGGTTGCAGGCCTATTTTGAGGGTGTGGGCAGGACGTGAATTTGCTTGCTCTCACTGTTGGCTCTAGTTAGCATGCTCCTTACACAGCACTACTGCAGGCTATCCTGGATTCTGTCTGTCTATGCAGATAGATAGTCTGTTGGTGGGAGGTGACACCAGAGCCTGTCTGGAGGAAGCATTCAGGCAGTGGGGTAAATACTTCACAGGAGTCCTGGGCATTTTGGGGAAGTGGAAGAGTGCCCAACCAGTAAAGAACTATGTGAGGAAGTGCCAGCCAGTTAGCTCATATGGGGCCCACCTGGACCAAGACACCCCACAATTTACACACATAGGACAGAGCCACCTCCCTGTGGTCACCCTGACCACTGGTACCCTGCCTTTCTACAGTGCACAACCTGCAGGATGCTGTCTTTGATTGCATTCAGCTGCATCCTCACCCAGCTCTGGAACCTGTTTCCCTGGGAAGTGGTAGAGAGCCCAGGCTAAAACCAGGGCCACTCCAGGGCTCTCTGTGGCCAAGAACTGCATATTTCAGAAAAGAGAAGACACCATGACTTTCCAGTACAAATGTGACATTCCAGGATGTTAGCACTCCTCCTTGAATGGCACATAGATGTCTTTGTAACTTCCACGCTAAGGTAGTATCCATACCGTGAAAACACGAGCTTCTCTATCTCCAGAACTGTTGGCCTGTGCATCTGAGGGTTTCCACAGCTCTGGATTCACTGAGGGTGGGTATGTTTTTATTAGTGCTGGCAAAGAAACCTTGTGCGTGCATGTGAGGCAGGTGTTCTGCCCCTGTTTGTCCATTGCTATTTTTGAGACAGAGTCTTATGTAGCCTAGGATGGCCCCAAGCATACTGCTTAACCAAGGATGACTTTGAACTTCTGATCCCCTAATGCTGCACTGGCATCCCTGTTCTGGGATTATAGGCATATGTAAACACTTGATTTATGATGCTGGAATTGAACCCCAGGACTTCATGCATGCTAGACAGGCACTCTACCAACTGAGCAAAAAACCCAACCATTTTGTTGCTGCACCTTCTAAGTACATGCACACTGTATTTTCTTGTTCCCCTAGTGAAAGGATAGCAGCTTCTCACTAGCGCTGACATCAAATTAGGTCCGGAGTTATCCAGAGACGGGCCAAAGGCACAGAGTGTGGGACAGACTTCATGTGACAGGATGTGGATTCCTGGTTTGGGAAGGGAGGGGGGCTGGAACTGTCACCCAAGGATGCTGAGAGGACTGTAGTGGATTCTGTCATCTGCTCTCTTATGGCCTCTTGGTTCATTTGTTTACATTTGTTTGTGGTTTTTAGAATTTTTTCCTGTGTTAATGTCTCTTTTGAATATATAAACTATGTTTAAACATAAAAAAGTGTCAAAAGATGTGTTTAGACAAGTATTCTCACTTCTGTCCCACTATCTTCTTCTCCTTGTTCTTTTGTTTGTTTTGCCTGAGGCAGGGTCTGCAATGTAGCGCTGACTGGCCTGGGACCCATTCTGCAGCCTACACTGGCCTGGAGCTTTCAGTGGTCCTCCCGTCTCATCTGCCTGAGTACTGTGTTGCCACACCTGCCCTCTCCTTTTTCGTTTTATTTTTTGTTGTTGTTGTTTTGTTTTCTTGTGGCAGGGTTTCTCTATGGCTTTGGAGGCTGTCCTGGAACTAGCTCTTGTAGATCAGGCTGGTCTCGAACTCACAGAGAACTGCCTGCTTCTGCCTCCCGAGTGCTGTGAATAAAGGTGTGCGCCACCACCTCCCGGCTCACCCTCTCTCCTTTTATAGGACACTGTTTTTAATCGTTTTATTGATTTCTTCCGCCAGTGTGTGTGTGTGTGTGTGTTTTTGTGTGCGCGTACGCAAGCTTATATGTGCGTGCATCCCATCTTCACGAGGGGGACACATACTCTTGCACTGGAGACTTTTGTGCCTGTTCCATCTTTAAGACCCCCTCAGTTAGTGTCAGGAGTTTCTCTTGTCAGCATCAGGGCTGCTTGTACTAAAATTTCAGCACATAACCTGCAGCAAGGGCAACAGTGTGAGGGTTGGTCTCCTTGTGAAACCTGTGCCTCATCTCGTCTGGGTCCTACATTGGTCCCTTTTATAGATGGGCACACTGAAATCCACAGGAAAAAGACAGGTGAAAGACTGGTGACCCAGGCAACTATCTGGGAAGAAGCTGCACTACCAGCAATCCAGAGAAGGAAGGGGCCAGGGAATACTGTCCACATTTAAGAAATTCTTGAAGGGAGCAAGAAGGTTAAGGTGGTCAGGACCTGGCACTGAAGAGGTCAAAGGCTGTGGCCAGGGAAGGGACTGGTGCTCAGGCCAGCCCCTCAGTCTTCAGTGCCTCACCCACATTGGTAGCCTTTTCATCTTCATTTGTGAGGGTGTCTTGGGTTAGCTCCAGAGCCCAATTGTCTCACCCTTGGCTATGGGAGCAACCCTCCTCTGCATTATTGGATATTAAATACTATGTAGCCTGTCTCATTAAATACAGAACAGTAGAAACTAGGGCTGAAGCTCAGTGGTGGAAAGCTTGCCCAATATGTATAAGGCCCTGGGTTCCATCCAGTACTGAAAAACAGACAAACAAATGAGCGAAAGAGTGTGTGTCGTGGAAAGGTAAGCCAGTGCAAGTGGACAGAGGGCAAACAGAGGGACAGGTGGCCGAGGTTAGTGGAGGCCTATTGGATGTTGGTGACAACTATAGGCCCTGCCATCTTGGCCTGTGTTTCCCTGTATGCAGCTTCCATGTAGAGACCTACAGGTCCTACCTAGACAGAGACCTTGCACATTGGCTGGAACACAGCTCTGAGGTCTAACTTTACCTCAGTCTGTCCAGTAAGCCACTAGGTGTCCCTTAGAAGAGGCCCTGGAAGGATCTGTGGTTCTAGGCCTGGTATGGGGACAACACAGCAAAGACAGACTGATGTCTATAGCGCCATTCCCCTCCAAGGGAGGCCTGGTTTCTCCTGATTCTGAAACCAGAGTCATACTGTTTTGGGGGGTGGTATGTGGAAGGTTCTAGAGTCTGGCCCCCACACACTAATTGTCAAACTACAATTGTGACATAAGGCATCTGCTCCTTACCCATGTTTCAGAAAGCAGCACCTGAGAGGGACACCATCTTCAGTGGATGGTACCCACAGACACTAAAAGTGCACTGAACGCCACAAGGTTTCATGGGTACCAACAAGATTAGTAGTTGTCATAATAACCAAAGAAATGTTGATAGATTTTCCCTTTTGGAGCCAGAGGCTGTTACAGTTCCTCAATTCCTGACCCTCTGCAATCAGGCTTTTCAGTTTCTGAGTGGCCATTCTGAGAAATTGCTTTTGTTTGTTTTGTTGTTTGTTTTATCTTTTGGGGACAGTCTTGCTAGGTTGTCTAAACAGCTTTATACTCCTGTGCTTGAGCACATCTTGCCTCAGCCTCTCAAAGTAGCTGGAATCCTAGGCCAGCCACAGAATCCAGTTCTGAGAAATGTGTGTTAGATAATTGATTGGTTGATCTATATATTGTACAGGAACTCAAACCAGAGCGTCCTATCTACTTAATCTGCTGCTGAGCTATAGCCTCAATCTTGTTTGGGAAACAGGTTTTCTCTATGTAGTCCTGGCTGCACTAGAACTCACTATGTAGACTCACAGAGATCTACCTGCCTCTACCTCCCCAGTGCTGGGGTCAAAGGTGTACGCCACCATGCCCAGCCAGCTCTACATCTACATAGCCCGGGACTTGTTATCTTCCTGCCTCCACTTTTCAAGAGCTGGGATTCCATATGCCTGTGACTACATAACGTCAAAATTGCTAACCTAAATGTTTCAACTTTTCTATTTTTCATTAAGGGCGAGTTCCAGAAACCAGAAATCTAAATCTGGAGAAGGCTGGTGTGAATGTCAACCCTGAGAACCAGAAAATTGTCGTGGATGCCCAGGAGGCCACCTCTGTCCCCCACATCTTTGCCATTGGAGATGTTGCTGAGGTATGCTCTGCATCTGTCTGGTCAGCCAGGCCTTGAGGTGAACATGACATAGGCTCTGCTGTCCACAGGAAAAACATGTCTCTCTCTAATCCCAGAGTACCAATCACAGGATCCAACTCTAGGGACTAGTCAGGTCCAACCTAGGAAGGATTGAGTACTAGCTTCTGCCCCTTTTAATTCTTTGGTTCTCTGGGAGTGTCAGGGTAGGACAGTTTAAAACTGGGGCTGGAGAGATGGTTGAGTGGCTAAGAGCACTGGCTGCTCTTCCAGGGGAATCTGGACCCCCAGCGCCTACCTGGCAGCTCACAACCATCCATAACTTCAGTTCCAGGGGATCTGATGCCCTCCTCTGGCCTCCTTGGGTACCAAGCACACACGTGGAGTACACAGACATACATGCATGCAAAATACCCATACACAAAATAATTTTTAAAATGCAAAGAAGGGCCGGGCAGTGGTGGCACATGCCTTTAATCCCAGCACTCAGGAGGCAGAGGCAGGCGGATCTCTGTAAGTTCAACACCAGCCTGGTCTACATACAAGAGCTAGTTCCTCCAAACCCTGTCTCGAACCCCACCCCCAAATGTAAAAAAGAAAATAAAACCCTGGCTGTACACAGAGTTAGCTGTTGCTGGTTACAACTTTGGTGAGTTCTTACAGCCACAGAAGAAGGATCAACCCCAGTTGAGGTCAGCAGGCCCTGCCCTTGCCACAGTTCCCCCTCTGAGCCTACAGCTGTTTCAGTCCCTCACTGACTAGGCTATCACTGTTCTTCCTTGGGTGAGGGACTCAATGTGGGGAAGCTACCAATTCTCTGAACCCCGTCCCTGCTGACTGGACCTGTGGCTGTGAACACTGCCCTGCTTCCTTGTCTTCCATGGAAATCATGGCCTACAGCACCTCCCTTGTAAGGCCCTGGCTTGGGAAACATCCAGCTACCATTCTCCTCCTTCACAGGCTCCTAGAAAAGGCCCACTGCATCCTCAGAGCCTCAGGAGGAGCATGTACTGAACCATTCTGATGCATGTCAAGAAGGTGCTCAGGAGCCCCTGCTTAGACACGCTCACACATGCACACAGAGCTCTCAGCCCTCGTCTCTGTGGTGACACCTGCTATATCTTCCACGAGTGTGTTTTTGTCCTGGGGCTGCTGTAACAAGTGGTTTATGCCACCACAAGTTCAGGAGCATAGAGCACTCATGCTTGGAGGCCTGAAGTTTAAATCTGAGTGTGGTTAGGGCTGTATTCCTTAGTACAGGAATACATCCTACTTCCTCTATGCTGGGACTGGGTGGTCCTTGGGTTCCAGCTCTCTCCTATCATCACTGATAGTCTCCTCCAGGTGCTTTATGCCCTCTTTTGTTTTACAGATTGTCCTTTGTCAGACTTGGGTCAGTGTATTACGCACAAACCCATTTCCAAATAAACACAAGTTCTAAGCAGATATGTCTTCTTGGTGGGGGACACTGTTCAATCCTCCCCAGTGTATTTGTTACTGCTCATGTTCATGAGTGTCACATCCTAGTTCCCGAGAGTGCTAGGGACACTTCAGGGACATGGGTGATGTCAGGTGTCAGGGGATGCTCAGTGCCATTGTTGTAGAGAGACAGTGGGGTAGGTAACTGAAGGTTTTGGTTGGGAGCAAAGCAGGCTAGGCAGAGGCACCTGGCATCTATGCCTTCAGGAGTGTGACAATGGCTACCCTGCCTTGGCTCCCTTTGGACTCACTTTGGGAAATGTAGAGAGGAACCTGGGGGAGCTGAGCCAGCGTTAGTGTCTAGTAGGTCCCAAGCCTGCTGGGTCAGCATGGCTCCTGAGTCTTTTGTGTACCAGAAGGGTCCCCGACCACTGTGAAAATGCTCAGATGAGCCAAGTGGTCACTGTACAGGGCACCATCAGTCCCTGTGACTGAAATTCTGGAATGTGACCTTCCCAGAGGTGCCAGACTCCCACCTCTGCCAGGTACAAAACCTTGCAGATAGCAGTTCCGATGACTGCAGGAAAATCTCCATGGGACTTGCTGTCCAGTCCATCCCCTTCTTGGTCCTTTCACCATTTACACACACACACACACACATCCAGACAGACACACACACACACACCGCCCCACACACACACACCCACACACACACACACACACACACACACACACACACACACACACACACACGTTCGTTTTATATGCCTGTATGTGTATCTGTGCACCACATGTGTGCCTGGTGCACATGGAAGCCAGAAGCTTTGTATCCAGACATCATATCCCAGGAAGTGAAGTTACGAACAGTTGTGAGCTGCCATGTGGGTGCTGAAACCGAGATCCCCTGGAAGAGCAGCCAGTGCTTTTAACCACTGAGCCATCTCTCCAGCCCCTCATGAACCTTGGTGGTGTGGTTGCTCGCTCTGCCTGTGGCTGGGTTGGAGCTTGTAGCCTCTGACTGTAGACTTCAGCTTTGTTTTGTGAGCACTGCACCCTGAGACAGCACCTGTGTTCTCTCAGAAAAGCACCGTGTGCATCTCTGGCCCCCAGTGCTGTGTTGCCACCAGCATGTGGCGCACAAAGACCTTTATTTTAAAAATTCAGTACACAGTCTAAAAGATCATTGCAAGCAATGCAGATAATACTCCTGCAGTCAGGTCAGGCCAGCAGCTATATATAAAGAATCCCAGGGTGAAGTAGTGGTGTTGTTTCATGTGGTATGCTGTGCTATGTGGGGATGCTTCCTGGGTTACTCAGGCCTGATGGAATGCACAGGCTTGAAGTGGAGTTTATCTCTGTAGATCTGTACTCATTTCTGGAATGCCAAACAACATCTGCATTTCCTGCTACAGAGGTGATTGGCAGCAGGGGCCTGGGCTACTGCAAAGCAGAAACACCCGAGGCAAGGTGCGCCCTGAGACAGAGGGGTCTCCTGTGGAATGACACTGATTTGGGATTTGTTGTGGACTGTAACATGCATGTCAAGCTGTGTGTCAGGAGCACATGACATGCTTGGGGCCATATGAACCAGACCCTGAGCCACTGGGAACCATGGCAGGATCTCTTTTGAGCTCTGTCATGAGACCAACACTCTTGAGATCATTGGTGTGACTGGTTCAGAGACAAGCCTGTGCCAGGGAGGGTAGTGGGGCTATGCCCAGCAGCCTGTTCCCTCTTCTAGGGAGAGTGGTGATAACTCGTCATGCCCTTGCAGTGGCGTGGAGGAAATACAGTGGTAATAAGCAAACCCATAGGGGCCTTGGGATTGTCACTGTGGGAAATTCAGCCTTGCATGCTGAAGATGTCCAGATCTTCACAGCTCGTGTCCACACCCTCACAGCTCATGTCCACACCCTCACAGCTCAGGGCCACACCCTCACAGCTCAGGGCCACACCCTCACAGCTCAGGGCCACACCCTCACAGCTCAGGGCCACACCCTCACAGCTCAGGGCCACACCCTCACAGCTCAGGGCCACACCCTCACAGCTCAGGGCCACACCCTCACAGCTCAGGGCCACACCCTCACAGCTCAGGGCCACACCCTCACAGCTCAGGGCCACACCCTCACAGCTCAGGGCCACACCCTCACAGCTCAGGGCCACACCCTCACAGCTCAGGGCCACACCCTCACAGCTCAGGGCCACACCCTCACAGCTCAGGGCCACACCCTCACAGCTCAGGGCCACACCCTCACAGCTCAGGGCCACACCCTCACAGCTCAGGGCCACACCCTCACAGCTCAGGGCCACACCCTCACAGCTCAGGGCCACACCCTCACAGCTCAGGGCCACACCCTCACAGCTCAGGGCCACACCCTCACAGCTCAGGGCCACACCCTCACAGCTCAGGGCCACACCCTCACAGCTCAGGGCCACACCCTCACAGCTCAGGGCCACACCCTCACAGCTCAGGGCCACACCCTCACAGCTCAGGGCCACACCCTCACAGCTCAGGGCCACACCCTCACAGCTCAGGGCCACACCCTCACAGCTCAGGGCCACACCCTCACAGCTCAGGGCCACACCCTCACAGCTCAGGGCCACACCCTCACAGCTCAGGGCCACACCCTCACAGCTCAGGGCCACACCCTCACAGCTCAGGGCCACACCCTCACAGCTCAGGGCCACACCCTCACAGCTCAGGGCCACACCCTCACAGCTCAGGGCCACACCCTCACAGCTCAGGGCCACACCCTCACAGCTCAGGGCCACACCCTCACAGCTCAGGGCCACACCCTCACAGCTCAGGGCCACACCCTCACAGCTCAGGGCCACACCCTCACAGCTCAGGGCCACACCCTCACAGCTCAGGGCCACACCCTCACAGCTCAGGGCCACACCCTCACAGCTCAGGGCCACACCCTCACAGCTCAGGGCCACACCCTCACAGCTCAGGGCCACACCCTCACAGCTCAGGGCCACACCCTCACAGCTCAGGGCCACACCCTCACAGCTCAGGGCCACACCCTCACAGCTCAGGGCCACACCCTCACAGCTCAGGGCCACACCCTCACAGCTCAGGGCCACACCCTCACAGCTCAGGGCCACACCCTCACAGCTCAGGGCCACACCCTCACAGCTCAGGGCCACACCCTCACAGCTCAGGGCCACACCCTCACAGCTCAGGGCCACACCCTCACAGCTCAGGGCCACACCCTCACAGCTCAGGGCCACACCCTCACAGCTCAGGGCCACACCCTCACAGCTCAGGGCCACACCCTCACAGCTCAGGGCCACACCCTCACAGCTCAGGGCCACACCCTCACAGCTCAGGGCCACACCCTCACAGCTCAGGGCCACACCCTCACAGCTCAGGGCCACACCCTCACAGCTCAGGGCCACACCCTCACAGCTCAGGGCCACACCCTCACAGCTCAGGGCCACACCCTCACAGCTCAGGGCCACACCCTCACAGCTCAGGGCCACACCCTCACAGCTCAGGGCCACACCCTCACAGCTCAGGGCCACACCCTCACAGCTCAGGGCCACACCCTCACAGCTCAGGGCCACACCCTCACAGCTCAGGGCCACACCCTCACAGCTCAGGGCCACACCCTCACAGCTCAGGGCCACACCCTCACAGCTCAGGGCCACACCCTCACAGCTCAGGGCCACACCCTCACAGCTCAGGGCCACACCCTCACAGCTCAGGGCCACACCCTCACAGCTCAGGGCCACACCCTCACAGCTCAGGGCCACACCCTCACAGCTCAGGGCCACACCCTCACAGCTCAGGGCCACACCCTCACAGCTCAGGGCCACACCCTCACAGCTCAGGGCCACACCCTCACAGCTCAGGGCCACACCCTCACAGCTCAGGGCCACACCCTCACAGCTCAGGGCCACACCCTCACAGCTCAGGGCCACACCCTCACAGCTCAGGGCCACACCCTCACAGCTCAGGGCCACACCCTCACAGCTCAGGGCCACACCCTCACAGCTCAGGGCCACACCCTCACAGCTCAGGGCCACACCCTCACAGCTCAGGGCCACACCCTCACAGCTCAGGGCCACACCCTCACAGCTCAGGGCCACACCCTCACAGCTCAGGGCCACACCCTCACAGCTCAGGGCCACACCCTCACAGCTCAGGGCCACACCCTCACAGCTCAGGGCCACACCCTCACAGCTCAGGGCCACACCCTCACAGCTCAGGGCCACACCCTCACAGCTCAGGGCCACACCCTCACAGCTCAGGGCCACACCCTCACAGCTCAGGGCCACACCCTCACAGCTCAGGGCCACACCCTCACAGCTTATGTCCACACTCTCACAGCTAATGTCCACACCCTCACAGCTCGTGTCCACACCCTCACAGTTTGTGGCCACACCCTCACAGCTCATGGCCACACCATCACAGCTCATGGCCACACCATCACAGCTCATGTCCACACCATCACAGTTTGTGTCCACACCCTCACAGCTCATGTCCACACCCTCACAGCTTGAGTGAGTCCACACCCTCACAGCTCTTGTGTCCACACCATCACAGCTCTTGTGTCCACACCATCACAGCTCTTGTGTCCACACCATCACAGCTCTTGTGTCCACACCATCACAGCTCTTGTGTCCACACCATCACAGCTCTTGTGTCCACACCATCACAGCTCTTGTGTCCACACCATCACAGCTCATGGCCACACCCTCACAGCTTGAGTGAGTCCACACCCTCACAGCTCATATCCACACTCTCACAGCTTGAGTGAGTCCACACTCTCACAGCTCATGTCCACACCCTCACAGCTGTGCTCATATCCATATTGCCTGTGTCTACATCCTCAAAGTTTGTTTCATGGTACTGGGAGTCTTCAACAGGGAGCCACCTTCTAAGAAGGCAATGGGTGGTATGGTATCTGTACAGGCTTCCTGGAACATAGTGCTGTTGTGTTCTTCCTTCAGGGGCGGCCTGAGCTGACACCCACAGCTATCAAGGCAGGAAAGCTACTGGCTCAGAGGCTCTTTGGGAAATCCTCAGCCTTAATGAATTACAGCAATGTGAGTTCCTATAAAGGATCCAAATCCAACCTGGGAAAGGCTTGGCTGGTTCTCCTGGCTGAAGGGTTCATTTGCACCTATGTGCCTACATGTGCATGGTGTATGTCTGCACACATGTATGCGTGCGTGCGTGCATATGCACAGATGTGTGTTCGTGGGTGTATGTATAAATGTGAGTGCATGTGCATACATGAGCAGGAGGACACAGTCCTTGGGGCCATATGAACCAGATCCCTAGTCACTGGGAATTATGGGCAGGATCTCTTGCGCTCTGTCGATGTATGGGTTCAGACAAAAGCCTGTACTGGTGAGGATAATGGGGCTATGGCCGGCAGCTTGTTCCCTATTCTGGAGAAAGGGACTTATGTGGTTTGGCTCCTGGTCCAGCCTAGGAACAATGAGTGGCCACCTGCTGTGCTCGTGTGTGGTTGGGTCCCTGGCTTCAGATTACTACTCAAGTGTCACTCAGGGGATGCAGTTTCAATTTGGGGGGCCCAAGAGACATATCTGATTCCAGACCTACTTTCCAGGTTCCCACGACTGTCTTCACACCACTGGAGTATGGCTGTGTGGGACTGTCTGAGGAGGAGGCTGTGGCTCTCCATGGCCAGGAGCATGTGGAGGTAGGGGACTAGCACCTGCTGTCCTGGATGGAGTCTTTAGGGCAGGTCCTTGACCTTCCTCCCCTGAGGCCCTGTGGTCCGGCAGCCTCCAGCCCGCCCCTGACTATGCTGTATGTAGAAGACTGTTGAGGTTCCTAGCATTCCCACCAGAGCTTCAGCATGCAGAGAGCTTGTGGCAGGTCGCAGGTCCCGGTGCTGCAGGGTTCTCCCTACCTCATAGTGGGAGGAGTTTCCCTTAACCTGAATGGCTCCTCCAAGGTAGCCTCTGGCCTGCTGGCTACTCCATTGTACCTTCTTGCCTAGGCTGGCCCACTTCTACTTACCTGCACCTCCACCTTTCTGGGACTCTCCTGAGGTTCCCAAGGGGCAAGACACACACTCGCAGCCTAAATTCTGTTCTCTTCCCCAGTTCTTCTAATGCCTACAGGCCCAGTGGCCCTGATTGGAGCCTTCATCCTAAACAAAGGGGTTTCCATTGGGTGCTTTTGGGAGTCTGCAGGGGCAGGCTGGCTGTGGCCCCAATGGTGCTTTCAGAGTAGGCCAGGGTAGCTGGAAGCTTTGAAAGCTGCCAGGTCGTGGAAACTGGAAGACTTTGGTGTAGGTCTTCCTGTAGCTGCAGCTTGCAGGCAGAGAGGCCCAGGTCACTAGGCTGTGGAGTCTGCCCGCTCTATGTACCCGGGCCCCTCCATCATGGAGACAGGCCTGACAGGCCTGCCCTGCCAGCACTTTATTTGCTATTTTTGTTAGATTCATCATAAGTACACTGGGACATGTGTTCATAGCATTTTATTATGCTTTATGTTTCATGATGTCGAATGGCCAAACATTCTTGTTTGTTTTTTTTCAGTTCTGTCTTGCTTAGAACAATATTCTCTGAAGCCCTATTAATTAATAATGGCTGTGTAACACATGTGGGGCCTTGCTCATTTTTTATATGGCTTCAGCCCTGAACACACTGTCAAGCTCTTCATGGGTGCTGAAAGCCCTTGTTCCACAGCTCCAGTGAGGCTGAGGTCTGCCCTGCCCCTCCACAACCCTGCACCAACCCCTCCTCTTAGCTGAAGTTTGCCAAGTCAGCACCAGGGTATCTCAGGGAGGCCAGGCAGCCATCTGAGAGCCATTCCTGCTCAGGTGGCTAGGATGGGCACTCCTACACCAGCGACTTGCCTGAGGTCTCTCTGTCCAGTCTGCACCTCTTGGGGATGCCCCAGGAGCATGGCTCAAACATGGTCTCTGTGTTGTACCATGGCTAGTAGCACCTCAGCAGCCTGGTGCCTGCTCTCCTGCTGTAGTTCAGTGGGGAGTCTTAGATCTGGGTAGGAGAGACTATCTGCAAACTACATGGCTATGGATACAGGCTGCCTGAACATAGGAAGACACACACTCTCTACAAACAGTTGAGGTGTTTCCATATCTCACACATACCCTTGGATCACAAGAGTGCCTCTGGGTCTCTGAGAAATCTGCCTTCCCAGTACTTTTTGTTGTTGTTAGTTCCAAGACTATAGGACTGTCTTAGGCATGGCCACTGATTCAGGTGCTGGTGTCTTGTCACCCAGGTTTACCATGCATACTATAAGCCACTGGAATTCACAGTGACGGATCGGGATGCATCCCAGTGCTACATAAAGGTGAGTGTGCTTAGGACCAGGGGTAGGGTGCACTGGGCCTAAGAGGGGGAAGCTATTGAATACGGAGAGTGTGCTGATATCCACAGGGCAGAGCAGCAAATATTAGCCACTTTCCCCATGTGACAACATACCTGCAGAAGCAACTTAAGGAAGGGTTTACTTTGTCTCACAGTGCAAGGAAAGGCTTGGTGGCAAGAGCTTGACGTAGCTTGTCACATGTGTCTGCAGTCAAGAAGCAGAGAGATGGATGCTGGTGCTCAGCTCACAGTCTCTTTTTGTGCAGTCTGAACCACAGCCCATGGAATGGTGCTGCCCACGGTTATGATGGGGATACCCACCACCATTAACCCAATGTAGAAACTCCCTTGTGGAGCTTATCAAATTGACAGTCAGTACTAGCTACCACAAATGGAAACCTCTGAGGGCTGTGGAGATAGGGAATAGCAAGTCCCTACAGCTGGATGGGTCCCCTGTAGCTAAGTGACAATCAAAATCACTGTGGCTTTCAGATGGTGTGCTTGAGGGAGCCCCCACAGCTGGTGCTGGGCCTGCACTTCCTTGGCCCCAATGCTGGAGAAGTCACTCAAGGATTTGCTCTGGGGATCAAGTAAGTCATGTAGAATCCTGGCCATTTTGTGTTGTAGCCACTTCCCTCTGTGTTCTGACAGCAGTTTCTGTTAGTTGTCTTCACGGTAGTGGAAGCTGCAGGGTCCACATTTCTGGGGGAGGGGTTTGTGCCTATCTGCAGCAGGTATCCTTCACCCTGCCTCAGGCATGGCAGACACAGCGGGAGAGGGACTTTATCTGGCCAAAGGTCCTAAGCAGGATGACTGCAGCCCTGGGGAATGGCCAAAATGAGTGTGGTTGAGCCCTCACACCCCCAGCCTTCTACTATTCATTTTTGTTTCTGTTTCCTGTGAACTGTCTGGTTTTGTAGTGGTTGTTGTTTTGTCTGCCCTGCTGCCCCCTCCTTCCACAGGTTTCTCTATATAGCCCTGGCTCTCCTGTAACTGGCTCTGTAGACCAGGCTGGCCCCAAACTCAGAGATCTGCCTGCCTCTGCCACCCCAGTGCTGAGATTAAAGGTGTGTGCCACCACCACCAAGCCAAATTGTCTATTTGTATTTTGTGGTTTTTCTTTCTATTTGTTGTGCTACTATTATTGAGCTACAAGAGCTCTTTGCATATTAAGGAAATCAATATTATAAAAAGAGGTTGCCACCATTTAAAAGAACTTCATAAATTCTTCCCAAAACTGAATTGTCTGGGCAATTTGCATTCAGGACAGTGAATGGGAATGTACTGTGGAACAGCCCTATCTCGTTAATCCCAGGGCCCTCCCAGGCCAAGCTGATGTGGATGCCCTGTTTACCATCACCCACACCATGCATCCATGGTAAGACAGTGCCCACACAGGCTCTAGCAGGAAGCTCAGGAGAGGCTGCTCATGGATCCTACCTGTGTCTACTTTGGAGTAAACTCCTATGTGATAGCTCTGCTGCAATCTCCTAAAGACCACAGATAGACATTCCAAAGACATGGGCTCACCTTTTTACCAGCCATTGTCCTAACACATTTGTAGGCCAGATAGACCTGAGGCTTGCTGTCATATGAGAGGTGTGGCCCAAACCCTGTCTCACCCATACAACCCTTCAACATGTTGATCCCATTGCTTTGTTGGAATCTTCTCCCTGCTCTCCCTTGTCCCTAGACCCCTTACCCGCAAGGCCCAACTCTTAGCCACGTTCATGTGATCCCAGCCCACTGAGGACCCAGATGTCCACACACCCTCCTCCTGTCCACCTTTTCCTATGCCTTCTCACTTCTGTGTCCCTCAGGATTCAAGGTGTGGCAGGGGGGGGGGTCGTCGCA